CTGTTAGGGGTTGAAGGCCACTGTCAGTAACCAAACTACATGAGTTCAGACTGAGATGGATCAGATTGGTATGCATCCTGAAAAAAAAAAAAACAAGGATCAAAATACATAAAGTCAAACTTCAAAGTCATTAAATACTTAAAGATAATCAAATCAAAAATTGATTCTAACTCACCTGTTAATAAAATATTTATTAACATCGGTCTATCTTTCTGAGATGAGGTATTATAACTATTTATATTGTTCTGACTGTTGTCCTCATCTTTATTGTCACATTCACAATGTTTCAGTTGGCCTTCTACAAGTGATATTTATTACGATATTTGCAAGAGGTGGGTGAAGGAAATGGAACAGATTCGCAGTGACTTTACTGAGCAACCCAGGAATGCGAAGGTTATATGTCAGCCCATTTCAGGAAATAAATATAGGAAGAACGTCTAACAAAATGTCATCAAGCCAATCTTCAGAAACACCAACATACAGATCAACTATTACTGAGTCCAGTTTGAAATTCAAACAAATATCACCTGAAGAAGACCAAAGTGTACAACAGCCGAAACATTGTCAATGTGACAATAAAGATGAGGACAACAATCCGAACTATGTAGATAGTGTAAATAAATAGCAATTACTTAAAATAAAAATGTTCATCCTTTGTTTTAGACAGTAAATACAAACACTGTTTTAATTCAAAATATCACAAGTAGAATTTAGAAAACAAAAATATCAAAAACTATTGTTCATTTTAAACATTATAAATAAAGACAAAATAAAACTACTTATATCGTACACAGATTCCCAAAGTATATATATATATATATCCAAACAAGTTTGATTAAAAAGAACCAACAAAGTTTTTCTAATGACATGTTGGTTATTGTGCTTTGAAACTGTGAATAAAATGTTTGAAGTTCATATTATCTGGTGTCTGTGTGGTAGGCAGATTCTACAGACACCACATGGGTTCATGAAAATAATGGAGATGTTCGAAAGATATCTGTGTGGGATATCCCATATTTGTTTATAAGTGTGTATATTATTTAATGTTTGTTTTGTTTTCCCATTTATTTTATTTTTTACAATTTTTTTAAACAAACCCCATAAATAATATGCACTGCTCCACTACATTGCAGATCCTTCTTTGGACTTTGTTAAGGAGCTCAAGATGAGCAGCAGGGGTAGCAGACCATATATGACAACAGTATTTAATGCATAGACAAATGGTAGATTTGTAGATGTGTAGGATGGACAAGAAAAAATTTCTGGCACAACACAGAGAGACATTATTTTTTATATATAGAGAAGAATTACTTAACTGTAAATGTCCATATGAATCCTTGACATAACAACAAGGATTGATATGGACAATTACAGCTAAGTAATTCTTCTGTGTGTATATATGTGTGAAGGGGGGGTGCAGTTGAGCAAGAGACCAACAAAACTCCTTGTAACACCAAAGATGAACTGAAGGCAAGGATTATGGCAGCATTCAACAGCTTAGACAAAGAGACCACCCAAAAGAGATGCAAGAGATTCCGAGGTCGTCTCAAGGCCGTGGTTGAAGCCAATGGTGATTTTATTGAATAAATTGGCTCTTTAGTATTTCTAGATATTTTTTGTATAATTTTGGTAAATATATCTGTTAAAATGAGACGTCAGTGTTATTTTCATTATTGCATAATTTAGATGCTAATTTATCTATCACACATATATATATATATATATATATATATATATATATATATATATATATATATGTATGTATGTATGCTTGTTTGTATTATGTATAATATTATCCAAAACAAAGTGAAGATATTGGAACAAAGGGAGAAAAGCTTTTTTTAAAAACATCTTTCATCGAACACAGTTTGAAAAAAAAATGCCTCATCAAAAATGTGCGTTAGGTCCAGTGTCATAAGGTCAGAATGAAAGACAAAAATGTGTCTAAGGAAAATGCATTGGAATTTTTGAGGATAAGAGGGGCAATAAATCAAATTACTTCATCATATCCAACAATCAGAGACCAGAAAGTTTTTTTTTGTTTCTTTATTTTTACTACTTAGTTGTTCTGCTTGAAAACTTGTAATTATTATCTCTAGATATGTCTTTAAATTACCAAGGGTATATTTTTGCTCTCACTCACCACCAAGAATAGCTTACAACAGTTACAATTATGCAATAATTACATAATCTAACCACAGAAACCATGAACCTACAGTGATATAAATAAATATATATATATATATATATATATATATCACCCAATTTACATTTTTAAAAAATACAAACTGTTTTAAGAAATTTTAATAAATCTGCACCAGAATTGAAGCAACCTAATTATTTAATCTAAACCGATTATATTTGTTTTAACTTATCATTTATTAAAGGGAGAAAATAAGATTAAGAAAAAGTTCCATGATACTCAATAACAAAAATGAGAAAAATTTGTTTATAAGCAAGCCTTGAAGATTTGATGAAAATGAGAACCCAGAACGATAACGTAAAAAACAATTCATGTCACAAATCACAGGTTAAATTAATGACATTGAAGACATATTATTTAAACAAATACCGAATTGTTTCTTACCTTATTTCATACAACAGTTCATTAGTTACATATGCATAAGAATCCAATGTTAATTTCTGAAGACGGCTGCAATTTGAAAAGATAATCTTATCACAAAACTTTAAGACAAAAAATAAAAATAGTTTTAAAAACATAAAAGTTAAACGGAAGAAAGAGAAAAATATTAAAAAATATTTAAAATAGAGAAAAACATTGAAAAAGATAAGTATTTAAACAAAATATTTTAAACTATTTAAAAAGAGAAAAAATTGGAAAAAACAAAAAGAAATTGGAAAAAGAACAAAATTGGAAAAAAAACTGTAAAGACAAAAAGAAAAACGAAAAAATTGGAAAAAGAAAAAGACTGGAAAAATTGAAAGAAAAGTTAAAAACTCTAAAAATAGAAAAGTCTTATAAGAAAAAAAAATTTTAAACAAAAATAAAAATTTAGAAAACATTAAAATGTAAAAAAAAAAAAAAATTAGTTAATGAAATTTTAAATAAAAAGTATATAAAACTTTAAAACATTAAAAAATACAATGGATAAACTGATATCAAAAGAGCATTCACTGTCCAAAATATTTATTTATATATTTTCTATATTTCATTCAATTAATGCTTTTCTTTAATCATTTGTTATTGCATTTTTTTGTTGCATAAAATGTTCCCAGCAGCACTAATTGATATTTTTTTAGTTTGCATTATGACTCCGGCATTTCGTACCAAGTAAAATGTGTTAAATTTAATTCACCAAAATAAAGCATTAAGTAATCTTATATACCAATTCTTATTGGTAAATATACAAGAAAAAGTGCATTATTCAAAATGGTTCACATATGCAAGATTGTTCTTTAGTATCCGGAGACAGTTTTTAATTATGACCCCCATGCCAGAAATTGGCTTAACGTATTGTTAAGCCAATTTCTGTCATGGGGTCATAATTAAAAACTGTCTCCAGATACTAAAGAACAATAGACAGTGAATATCAAATAACAAATCTAATCATTTCTTATCTTCAATCTTTTCTTGTAAGACAAAAAGTCATGACTAGGATAGTCTGAGTGATTTGTTTTTACGCCTTATCAACCCTTTGTGGGTTATTTAAAACAGAAACATTTTGCATTCTGAGAATAAATCATTTGTTTTTGTGAGTGAATATTGCATTAACAATTTTTTTGAAAATATCATTTTTACAGATAAGAGTTCTATTATTTAACCCATAGATTGGGGAAGGTAATTGATTCATAGCTTTCCCAATGATATTTTGTGCACAAATGAATGTAACAGAACTGACTGGAATTGAACTTGGCTCTCTAATATCTCATTCCAAGCTGCTACCCATTACACCATCTGCACATCCACTCACTGCTAGTAAGAAACACATATCCACGAGGGACATATGCTCCAAGACCCCAGCATTTGATTGAAACCACAGGTTATAAAGAATTCTATAATTACTGATTTTCCCTTCATAGGAAAGATAAAATACAGGATGCAGAGGTTAGAATCAATAGTAAAAACAAATCTTCCCTTACATAACTTTTATTATTACAGTATCTCATAATAATTGTTTGATTTTATTATTTGTTATTAGAGTCTGTTATTGGTTTGACAATTCTTCACGGATTATTTAAATCTAAAACATATTTCAGATTGTAAGAATAATATTCACTCACAAAAAAAACAAATTGTTTTTACAATTGATCTTAACCACAGCATAATTAGAATGAGAAATTAGAGAACTGAGTTCTAATTCCAGCCAGGTTCATTATATACACTTATCTGTGAATGCCCTTGAGAAAGGTGTGAATCAATCTCCCCCACACACACACACATCTATTGGTGAAATATTAGGACTCATATCTGAAAAAAATGATTGTTATGCTAAAAACAATTGTAAATGCAATATTCACTGAAAAAATTGTGATTGTCATGAGCAAGATATGTGATATCATGCCCGAAAACGTCTACGCATTGCATGCATATGGTGTCACAGAGCAGTTGGAGGAATGGAGAATTGGCGGATTGCACCTATGCATATGTAAAACTCTGCCACTCAACCAATCAGTTGCTTCATCATGGTCTATAAAATGAGTGTGTCTGAAGGCTTTGGCAGTGGGGGCCAAGGGAGCCAACGAGGACGACGAGAGACAACTGCCCTGTACGAGAGACAACTGCCCTGTTCCAACGGATCCTTTTTGGCATGACAGCTACAGAAATAACAAATTATTCTTAAAATCCCAAATATGTTTTGGCTTTAAATAACCAAAAATAGGTTGTTGGTTGGTTGTTTAGCAGTATATCAACTTCTATGGGTTATTTAATGCCAAAACCTAAGTATTTTTTGGGAGATAATAATAGTTTTTAGTGAGATACATCTTACTAATTAACCTATAGTTGGCGGAGAAGATTAGGATCCATATCTTTCCCAAAGGTATTTGTGCTTAAGTGAATATAACAAACCCAACTGGAATTGGAACTCAGCTATTTGATTAACAATTCTAAGCCATTAAACCACCTGCATATCCTAGCTTATAGTGCCTGGTATTCCCAAGCTGTCACCCATCTAGTTACTGACCAGGTTCAATGTTACTTAACTTTGGTGATCATACAGGAGAAAGAATCAATAAACTATGATAACTAATAATGAAACCAAACAATTATAACGAGATACTGCAATAATAAAAGTTATGCAAGGGAAGATCTGTTTTTATGATTGATCTTAACCCCAACATACAATATTTTTTCTTATTGAGAATTTTTAGCTTTTGACTTCAAAAAACTTAAAAAAATAAAAATCTCAATAAGAACTTTATGGATTTCCTTTAGCATCATCCAAATTGCAAACATCATTCCTATTGTATTTTCAGACAATTAACACATAAAACTTATGAATTCTTTATTCTAGGAATTGACAGCTGGAAAGTGAAACCAAAGATAAGAAACCACAGTATAAGATTTTAGATTAGATAAAAAAACCTAACAATGAGGAAGATGTCAGTGTCTAGTTAGTTTCTTGGCAAATTCAAATCAAATATTGAGGAAGCAGACATGGTTAAGCAAAATTGACAAAATACTCAATAGCAATAAGAAGAGGAAGAACAGGACAAAATGATACAAGGCAAGACAATGTAATGTTTGGCAAAGCAAAGCAACTATAAGACAGTTAGAAAGTAAAAAGATCCCAAAAGAGAAATAATGTTCATACACAAAAGGGATACAGACAAGTGTTTATAGGCTTCTAATTTTGAGGCAACAAAAAAATGTGCAAGTAAAACCAAGAACTGTCCATGTGATCCTTCACATAAGCGGCATAAAATAACCAGCCAAAGTTCTACTTCACTTAAACAGCATAAAATAAATTGCTAATTTTTTTTTTTAATAATAAATATCACCATGGTCAATGGTGCCCTGGTCATTGAGCATTCGGTGGGTTCAGGAAAGTGAGGTCCCAGATCTGCAAGCAGAGACTATGAAAGAGGGGATTGTGTGATATATTCAGCCTAGAAGCCATATTGTTTCAGATGGCTGGAATCAAGAAAATACTCTCATAATTTCATTATTCATTAGCAGCATTTTGTGGATCCTGATGATGACACCATCTCTACTCAAAACATGGAAAATCTTTGGCTGTTGGTCAAGAGTTTGAAACTTCTGAGACGTAGTCACGTCAGATGTTCACAAATTCATGTGACATCAGCATTACAAGAACAGTCCTGTGTTTTCAGCATTTATTTGCTGCTTGGTCCACAATTACTTGTTATAATAATGTTTAATTGTAATAAATGTATTGGCCTCATTGATTGATTTTACGCCATTCAAAGAACAGTAGTTTATTTTACATTGATTAAGTGAAGGATTACTGAATTGTCTATAATTTTTTTTTCAGGGGGAGGGGGGACCAGTCATTTCCCATGATTGAAACCAACAGTGAACAACCCTAAAGGTGATAGCCTAAAGGATTCCAGTATTCGGAATACCAAAGATTCTACAACCAATTACAGCTAGTAATTTTTTTAACTAAAACACATGAACTGATTAGAATGTAGTCAAAATATTTCTAAAACCATATAATGTTATAACATTAATAATGCATATGATAATGTCATATATGAGTGAGTTTTGAAAAGATCTCAGCCTGACTATGAAAACCTATAAAAAAAAAAAAATTAAAAAAATAAAAAATATCTACAGTCATTTGGTCAGATTTTGGAAAGTAGTCCAAGCCGAGAACTTTTTAGCACATCCTTGTAAATACTATATGATAATATTGTTGTTATTATATATAACACTGATTGTAGATCAAAGTTGAATCTGACTAGGGTATGGTTGTATGAAAAACTGCTCTGTACACAATCTGATAAATTGAACATGCAGCACTTTAAATATTAACTAGAACTAACATCTACCGCCTGAAGAGACCTTAATGGTAGAAACCATGGTAGTCGATGCGTAAGTGATTCCTAATTTTTATATATCTGAAAATACTAATGATCGTAACAAACAGTTCATCACCATTATAAGTACCTGAAGATTGTACTGAACATGAAACTCCAAGCTGTACTTATGATGTAAGGTCATACATACATACATATATATATATATATATATATATATATATATATATATATATATATATATATATATATATATACACACACACACACACACACACACACACACACACACACACACACACACAGCAAGTGCTCCAGACCAGTTGCAATCTTCAGCTGAGTGCAGTGCTTCAAAAAGGTTTTGGTCCATTAAGCCCAGTAGCTCTCGACACAGTGGGTCCAAACCATGTGCAGAGGAACTGAAACTATGGTAGCTGGTGTATAAGTGATTCCAAAAAAAATATATATATATATATATATATATATATATATATATGAATGATAAAATGGAAAAACTTTTCATTTTACACATTTTATCCTTAGAACTTCATCGGACTGAGTAGGTTTTTTTTACATTGACATGACTATATATGCACACAAACAAGAAATGCTGGAAATTTTGAATTTAGAAAAAAAATTTTTTTTTTTTTTTTTTTTAATATGTCTGGATACATAATCTGGCCAATTTCATTTAAATTCTTGAACCTGAATACAAATAGATGAACAAGTGATCAAAGCAATTTCTAAACATTTTTTCCAAGAACTAAGAATAGATACTGCACTTTCATCTTCATAAGAGAAATTATTAAATAACACTTATCTTCATCCAGAATTAATGCCTCAATTATTTCTAAGCAGAATTTTTAAAAAGAAAAGTCACATTCAGAAACAATGATCAGCAAATAATTATAAAGAAACTAATGATGGAATTTTCTAGACCAAATAATGAGGAAAGAGGGCTTAGAAAATTTGACACTGACAGAACATATTGAAAGCAAGAAGGGCACTTCAACATGGTGTAATGGTTAGCAAGCTTGTCTCATGAGATCAGTTATGGCTGAATAACGAGTTCAATCCTCACTCAGTACTCCATACTTTTGATCTTATGCTAAGGAAAAAAAAAAAAAAATCACCATATTGAAATCAAGCGGGACAGTGGAAAGAAGCACATAATCCACCTAACGATATTGTGTAAATAGTTAACAGAAAAAGGATTAAGAGAAATGGTTAAAAGAGAATATTTAATAAGAGCTACAAAAGGAATTTGTGGAGAGCCATGATCGCCAACATTCTAAAAGGAACATGGCACATACAAAAAGAATGATGGAAGCAAATACAATACATCACTAACCAAGGTAAAAATGCATGAAGAGTCTTTGGCTTCAATAGTTTCTCTTTACGCAAATAATCAACTAGACGCTGAGCTGGCTGCTGGGAAAGTCCATGGAGAGGTATTGTGTGTTCTTTCGGATTTGACAGACGGTTTGCTATAAACTGTAGACACAGGTGTTCCAATGAGGATACCATCTGACTGTGATGATGATGGTGATGATGATGATGATGGTGGTGGTGGTGATGGTGGGGCTGCTGTGGTTGGTGGTGGGGCTGTTGTTGTCGGTGTCTAGGGGAAGGACTCCGGCTCCTGGGTTTGCGGGCATGCCGATTTGTGGCTGCAGCAACTGTTAGAATGAACAAACAATGATAGGAATGAAGCCAGGTTAAGAGAAAAGGAAGTAAAAAAAAACAAAAAAAAAAAAAAAACAAATTACAAGAAAATAAAAAAACGATACATCATTTGTTTGGATTTTTAACACAAAAAAATTAAGCAGTACTTAGAAAGATTACTCCATTACTTATATAAATGTAAAAAACAGTCTGAGTTGGAATCAATATAAGTGACAGATGGCTACAAAAAGACATCACTGATTATTTACAGATAATTTGTTTAAATAATGCACTGACTATTGTTTACGCAATGTGACAATATTTCTAAAAAACAAAAAATGGTGCACTAAAATAAGCTGGTTTTTTTAATCATTTTACCCCAAGCAAAGCATTAAAGCCACTAAGACGCAAAGGGTTACTGAGTGTTAGAGAATATGAGAAAAAGAAAACCTTATTAAAGAGAGAGAATAATAAAAGAACCAGAATTAAGAATACAGAAGATAACGATTGAAACTGCATTAAATATTTTAAGATCAAAGTTGACCGAGAAACAAAAAGAGAGTTCCATAAGCAAGAAGTGCAAGAGAAGAAACTGTTAGCATAGAACTTACGGTTACATCTAGCCATTTCAACTATAAAATGATGAGACCTTGCTGCTAATCAAGTACTGTGTTTAAATCCATAAACTTTAGGTGCCACAGAATAAAGTTCATCAGAACATTTGCCATGGAAATATTTATAGAAAAATTACATGAATGTTACATTACAGCAGTGGGAAAGTGACTGAAGCTGAGATGCCAGGTTAGGACCAATAATATAGTAGATTCTTCTTTGGATTTTATCAATAATCTTGAAATACACAGCAGAAACACCAGACCAGATGTGGAAGCAATATTCAATGCAAGGACCAATGGTAGATTTATAAATATGTAAAATAGATTTTGGAGAGAAAAATTGTCAAACAAGTAGCCAAATAATCATTTTAAGTTCTCTGAATATTGGTGCTGATTAACAGGAAATGAGCAATTGAAGGTAATGACTTAATAACAAATCTCAATAATGAATTACACTGAATAAATAAACAAGACAACTTTATATATATATATATATATATATATATATATATAATTATTTATTTGAAAATTATAACATAAATATATTATAAAATCACTAAAAAAATAGCCATTTTGTTTCAACACCTCTGGTGTCTTATCAAGTGATGATGTTGAGTGCCTATGTTGCATATTTATGTTATAATTTTCGAATAAATAATTATATTTCACTCTAGTCTGTATTGAGCACTCTTTTAAGAATATTAATTGTTGGTTATTGGAATTTATTCTGTATACACCAATCTTATACTTGTGTGTGTGTGTGTGTGTGTGTGTGTGTGTGTGTGTATATATATATATATATATATATATATATTATTAAAGACAACTGACAGGGTACTGCGATTAAGCTTTTTTTTATTTAATTTCTCTTGTGTTTGTACAAATGTTTTCTTTCCTGGACACAAAATGTGTAAAAACTGTCCATACCTCGGCAAGATCTAAATTACAGAGAACCAATATTATTTTTGATTTCACATACCCCTTAAGGAACTATGTTCCCGATCAGACCAAATTCACAAATAATTATATTGGTCATACCACCACATGCCTATCTAGATGACACATGTTGCACCTACCTGACCATAGCTCAATTAGGACTCACTTAAAAACACACACACACACACACACACACACACAGAAACCTACCAAACTCCATCCCCAACATACTAGTAGAAAATACAAGGATAATAGCCTTAATCTGCATGTACAAAAAGATTAAAAATAATGTAAGCACTAATAAAAAAGAAAAAGCCAACACTCAATAACATTAGCTATGAACATGTCCACAATGTGCTGATCATGTTTGTAAAATAAAACATTCCTATAACTTCAGATACATAAATAAAAAAATACACACACAATCAGTTAAAAATAAAAAATTAAAATTGTCCTTGAAAATGGCTAAAAGAATAGCCAAAAGTGCTCTGATATGCAGAACCCTTGGAACAGTTTTACACACTTTGTGTCCAGAAAAGCAAACACTTGCACAAACACAAGAAACATTAAATAAAAAGCTTAATCACAGTGCCTTGTCAGTCATCTCTAATGAAACTTGTATAAAAGAGAGATTGCTACCCAAATATATATATATATATATATATATATATATATATATATATTAAAGAATTAATGCATTTATTTTTAATCCAAACTTTTTATTACTTCAAACATTATTATAATAGATACTTCCTATTTGAAATAGAAGTCCAATTTTTATTTTTTAAATAGTGTGTATTATTTCTATCAGCCTGTGCAATCGAGCAATCTTAGTAAAGAAAAATGTTCTCTGGTAGGAATTGAACCTGCATCTCTCTTTGTAGGAGAAACTACTGTTTGATCCAGTGTGCTTTACTGCTCAGTCACGAAGGTTATCACATTAAGCAAAGGTCTATTTTCCCGTTTTAATAAAGAAAGCACATCCTCTTCACTTAGAATATTTTCTCAAAAGTTTCATATCTGCTCAGTTTCATATCCAAAATGTAAACAAAGCAATTCTAAAGGATTAATGAATTTAATTTTAATTACTTTGAGGCCTGAGTGGTAAGGCACATTAGATCAAATGATGCTTTCCTCTATAAAGAGAGACACAGAGTTCAATCCCTGCAGGAGAACTTCCCTCAATGAACAAAACACACTGGCTTAAAATGTTTTCCTCTTGTCTTTTCTTTTATTTGTATCTGGAATTATATATAATTTTCAGCTACTCATTTCTGTGCACACTCGTCTGTTAGGGCAACTTGTTAATCCTTGTTGCATACACCTGCTCAGGCACGTATCTGTTCAACACGTATAGAACCCACCACAGCTATACTGAACAGACCTTAGTTATAGTTTCTGGGAAAGAGTATATTATTTGGCATGATCAACTAATTGAATAAAGCCAGGACACTAAAACACTCAGTCATGCTGACTTGTGCTGGAACATCCATTGACAACTTCCAAGCAGTTCTTCTGTCTACCCAATTTCACCCACAAGGCTAGGGTTAAACCTTGGAATGTTTTTCAGGCACTTTTGTGGGATCACCTCCTCAGATTGATAAACATAAAGGAATCATCTTTCTGGCAAATCGACCAAGGTGAGATTCAAACCTGGGTCTCATGCTTGGAAAGTAAGCATTCTAAAAATTCTTCCACACACACACATTTATACTTACATAAATGTGTGTGTATATTCGTATACAAAGGAATGATAAAAGTTCTTATCCCAACCCACTTCTAAAAACCTCATCAAATGACCAATATCAGAATATTTGGTAGTGTGTTGGATGGTTTTATCATAAGGGCCCAAAACTTTTCACTATACCTATTATTTTTAAACTCACTTAAGATGAAGTAAGCAAATTGTTAGCCAAACACTTCAATATTACTCTTGCCCTGACAGAATGGTGGATTTCAATAAAAAGTTTTCCTTCTTCAATCAATAAACCAGATCTTTACATCTCATGCCAACTTTACATGTGCAAAACACCAAATACAATTCCACATCAAAATAGGAGTGTACTGAATTGGTTCTGGGAATTGGATGCTGAAGACTACAGATATCATGTTAGAAGGACAGCCAAACCTAATCACAGAAAAAAAATTTTTATATATATATAGCAAAAGAGACAGAGAGAGAGAGACAGATAATAAATTAATAACCTGCAAGTTCTCTCAAGTTGCTGGTATTGGGTTCAGGAACGCTGTCAGCTCTTGGGTCACCTTCAGGCAGAAGCCGCATTCCTACACCTCCAAATACACCTGGGCGGTGAGGTTCTGTAAAAACAAAAGGCATGTGAAACATTAACGATAATTATTCAATAAAAAGCATATTAATATTAATCAATGGTAATAAATTATAGCAGACAATATTTAACAAAAATATTTTATTTTCTAGTTCCCAGGGAGAATTTAAATGTAAATTGTCCAATGTCTTCAGTTTCAGCTTTCATAGACCATTATCTAAGAATGTTTTGTTAGTTGAGAGGCTTCTGTCTGCTGATATACATTGTCTTTCTTTGGTGGTTCTTGAGAGTTGCACTTTCAGGTGTCAGGGGGTATCATGGGATTTTTCAAGTATTGCATCTTCAGGTATCAGTTCATAGTTTATTTGTTTTTTAATTATCAGATATATTTACTTTTAATATTAAGACAACGTTCCCAGTTAAGGCTTTTAGTATTTGTAGTAATTTCTTACTGGTTTATATTATACAGTATATTGTCTGAGATTTTTGTCATGGTGTTGGCTGGTGATATGAGATCTAAGTGGATTATTAGCAAATAAAATGACAAATTAATTTTTTTTAATGAGCTTCCCAATGGCTTCAGCCCTCAACTTGGTATCTATACTGATGATACAACTATTTACTCCTGCCTCAATAGTAATTCTGATCAGTCCATCAAGGTCAAAATAGCAGCTGATGTCCAAAACAACCTCAAGTCCGTTGTTAACTGGGACAAAAGATGGCTTGTTAATTTTAACACCTTCAAAACTAAACTTCTCTTCATTAATCATCTGGTAAACCCCTCTCTGCGTTCTATCAGCATGGCTAATGTTAACCTCCAGGAAAGTAATTCGTTGCACCTTCTCAGGCTAACGTTCTCAGCTGACATGAAATGAAAAGACTATATTGAATACATTGCTAGGTCACCTGCTAAGAAAGTTGATTCACTGGGCCATGCAAGACAATTTTTTCTCTCCAGAATCTATCTTACATATCTATAAGTCTACCATTCGTCCAGACTTAGAATATTGCTGCCACATATGGTCTGGTGCTCCTGCTATTTACCTTGAGCTCCTTGATAAAATTCAAAGAAGACTCAACAATATTATCGATCCTGATCTGGCTTCAGTCACTTTCCTACCGCCATAAGTTTGCCTCTCTGTGTCTTATCTATAAATACTTTCATGGTAATTGTTCAAATGATCTCTTCACTATGGTACCTAGAGATTTTTAATTTAAGTGTAGTACTAGACTGGCATCGAGATCACATCAATTTCCAGTTGAGCTGGCTAGATGTAAATGTAAATTCACTGCTAATAATTTCTTTTCTCACACTTCTTGCTTGTGAAACTTGCTTCCAGCTAAATACTTTCCTGCTAACTTTAAGCTGCAAAAATTTAAATGCATTATCAATCTATCTACTGTCCTCCTGGTTACTCTTTCCTCTTCTTGCTCATTATTAATGTTTCTGTTCCTAATTCTTTCACACCCTGTAACCCCTTGTATGTTAGCAGCTTTACTCCCTTGCAAGGGGTGATACTAATTAAAAAAAAAAATTAATCAACACAAAAAGGTAGTGACTGATTATAAAAGCTGAAAATGCTCAAAAGACATTGGATAATTTATACATGAACCTCTCCAGAAACCAGAAAAATGTCTCAAAAGATGAAAAAAGATCTTTCATTGGCTTTCAAACCAAACCTATATAACAGATAAAAACAAAAAACAAATGTGTGTGTGTGTGTGTGTGTGTTTATGTGCACATGTGTGTGCATGTCTGTAACTTCAAAGAAGTTTGGTTGAATCCAAACAAGGTCTGTTGGTTTAATCTTTTTTTTTTATTGTATTTTTCCAATTTTCAGATTTTCAGGGTAAAAATATTGAATAAATTGTCTGAAATTCATATTTTATTCTGTTTTTATTTGAGTAATTTTGGACATCTCTGTCATTATCAAGAACTGGGTGTTATTGTGGTAGACAAAATTTTGTTGGTTACATCATGATATTTTGGGGGGAATGCTGGGATTCAAAATAATTCAAAGTGACATTACGAGTAAAACATTTGAATCCCAACATTATAATAAATCTGCAGATGTAGTTCCCTTGTCTACTACACTCATAATACCCAGTTCTTGATAATGACTGAGACAGTCAAAAGTACTTGAACAAAAGCAGAACAAGACATTAATGTCAAAATCATTTGTGCATATAAAAATTGCCAGTAGTGGGATCAGTAAAAATCAAGTACATCTTTTCTGGAGGGTGTGACAGATACCTCCTATATAATGGAAAGATATTAGTAACAATGGTGCCTTAATCTTACTAATGTCATACCATTATGTGGGAGGTATTTCTGGGAGGTATATGTAAGTGGGATTTCTATCACACCTCTATATTACACAGAGTGGTTCGAAAGTCTTGTCACCCCTACATATATAATATTCTATTTCAATGCTCTGTGGGGTATTATCAAAAAGATGTCTCACATGAACAATATCAAAATACCCAACAGTTGAAGGATACCGTTCAGAAAGACTTTGCAACAATCAACAAAACACAACTTCATAAAATATCACACAGGACATGGCACCACATCATTTGGTACCACAAAAATGGTGGGGTTCATATAGCCCTTCTTGATGCGTGACAGCATCAATGAATGGGAATAAACTGAATCAAGTACATGTGCTTTTGTATTATTTGTTCTTCTATTATTCTCATTACTTTTTGGTAGGAAGTGACAAAACTTTTGGATCAACCTGTATATTATTCTGTATCTTTTATATTTAACACTGTGTTACTGCACGATTCATGTCTTTAGCACAAATTTTTATTGTTTTATATATATATATATATATATATATATATATATATAAAATTCTGGCTTTAAAATTTTCCTCTTTAAAATTTTCCCTACTATATATATATATATATATATATATATATATATATATATATATATATATATATATATATATATATAATAAATATCATCAATCTTATTGCCAATATTGCTATCGTTTTGTTGTCTTTTCTTTCCTCAAATTTCATTAACCGGCCTTTTATATATATTTTTAGCTTCCATTTTTGAAACATGGTTAGAACTGTGTAGCGAAAAAACCATATTTTAAATCAATTAATTTATAATATATATATATATATATATAAATATATATAAATGAGAGAGCAAGAAGAGCCAGAGATACTTTTTGGTAGGAAGTGACAAAACTTTCGGATCAACCTGTATATTACTCTGTACTTTTTATATTTAACACTGTGTTACTGCACGATTCATGTCTTTAGCACAAATTTTTTATTGTGGCTTTAAAATTTTCCTCTTTGTGCTTCAATTCAATCAAAAGGCCTACTAATATATATATATATAATAAATATCATCAAACCTATTGCGAATATTGCTATTGTTTTGTTGTCTTTTCATTCCTCAAATTTCATTAACTGCCTTTTATTTTTATATTTATATATATATATATATATATATATATATATATATATATATATATATATGAGAGAGCAAGAAGAGCCAGAGATAGTATTTAAATATGTAGATGAAATAAGCTTTGGAGTAAAGGCCTGCTTTAAAATATAACTAAAACAGGCAAATCTGTAGAATGCACATGCTTATTGACAATGAATAAAGCTGATTCTATCACAACAAATAATGATATATTGTTACCAGCATTATGCTTATTTTTTGTCTCAACTGAAACTGAATTTTTTTTAAGGTGAGGGACTTCTACAATCGAAAAAAAAATCTATCCATAGAGTTGAGAGCTCAAAAAAATAAATAAATTCTACAAAATTTAGAAGCAATTTTTTTAAACTTCTAAAAGAGAAATTACATATTGATTTGTAAAATGTTTTTTGGAAGATAATTTGACATTTACACATTTTTTCCGTGCCATTTTGAAGCTATGAACATGTGAAATACATTGTGTCATGTAAAATAAATAGACAGTGATTACAGGTAGGACACCTGACTATCGAGTAATTGGTTAGCAGGCCTTTGCTGCAGAAATAAATCAATCTTCTTTGGATCTCCTATATTTGTGGCTTGTGTCATATTAAATTAAACTTATTGAACATAGAATAGGCAAACTTAGAGGCAGTTTCGCACAATACCACAAGCTGCTACAAAACCAAAACATTAAACTAAAAACTTGAGCCCTGTTCATAAATAGTCTTATCCAATCACGACTTCCATACGGATGTCATGCATAGCACCAAACTCATTTAGAAATATCTAAACTGTCAGTTGTATACAATCACTTTCTCGGACTGATGGATAAAATGGCTTAGAGTGAATTAAATTTGTAAGCCTTAGCAAGAACCCTCCTTCTTCAGACCTTATGAACTTGTACTATAGAATCACAAACAAAGAGCTATACCAGGTAATAGAAATCACATCACTTGAGGGCTTTCAAAAGCAGCAACAACTAAAATGCATAGAACATGTAACTCGAAGAGAAAATAATGACATAATGAAAATGTTGACATTCAACATTACTTCAAACAAAAGGCAAGGAAGGAAACTCCCATCAATAAGGGAAAGAGCAATAACAGCTACTGGACTTGAGAAACATATTTTCCTGAAAAATTGTTTCAAGAGAAAGATTTTATAAATTTCACTGGCTGTTCAATCATTGTCATTTTAATGAATTTGATCTGTATTGTATACCCCACAATTGTAGCCTTGTACCCTAATAGGCTAAAATGTAAAATAAAATTTTTGTCTCTCAACATAGCAGCATTGTTAAGAAGCTAGTCTCAAACATCATTATTACTACAGTGAGTTTAATCTACAATAGGTGCCTTACATTTTCAGCTTTAAACCAGACAATTCTCAGTTTAGTCTCACTAAAGAAGAACACTTAGCCATGAGGTAATGGCTAACAAGCTAATTTAGCATATCTGTATGCAGAGTGTGATCTTCCCTAGGTATCTTACCAATGTGGCATTGTACCAGATACAGTAAATGTATGTGGATGCCTCCCATGACTTATTAGCACTGGGATTACCAAAGTGAGAGTCCATGGGAGCAATGAGGAAATAGAAAAGAGGTGGTGGGGGTGTTGCAGTTAGGACAAGGTGGATAATAATGGGTGAAAGGTTGTTTAGAACAAAGTAATAATTTATTTTTTCTTTCTTTAAAACCACTATGAAAGAATCTAAGTTACTTACACTTAAGTAAGCTAACATATCAATACTATATATCATCCACATGCAAGCATTTTGTTGTATCACAGCTCATCAGTGTGACTAGATATCCAATTGCTTCAAGCCAGGATCGATGCCCAACTGATTTGGCATCAGTAAGAGATTCTACCTCTAAGCTATCAGTGCAGAGCAGAGAAAGGGAAATCTTAATGTATTATATACAGATGTAATATATAAGTCTTCAGGTGCAAAATTCTCACTAATATATACTTAATAGCTCCGTTATATAACAGTGAGCACTGTTTTTATAAAACCTAAAAAAAAAAAAAATATATATATATATATATATATATATATATACATACACATACAAGTATGTGCATATATATGTTATCTTATATATATATATATATATATATATATATATAAAAATAAATAAAATTAACATAAGCATTACACATAAACATATGTCTATTTTGTTTTGTTATACAATGTTTTGTTTGTATCTTGTTGACATTATCTGGACAGGACACACCACAAACCAGCTGGATCCAACAACTGACATCTGCAGGGACCAATGCTCTATGTTTATAGACATGGATGTTCGTCGGGCAACATCTTATTTAAGTGTAGCATTGGATCTTAGATCGGACACTGGTTCGTTCAACTATTTGGTCTGATCATCATCCACAAAATAAAACCATGAGACTATTGTGCTAGTAGGTAAATTTTATTCTGGTTGTAACATCATGCTGTAGACAAATGAGGCAGAAATGAAGCAAGATGAAGGAAAGTGAACAATCTAATAGGTATCTTCCTTTTCACTTGGCAGTGAGCGGTCTTATTTCTTTCTCTGGATCTCTTTATTTTTTGCTCATAGTAGCCACTGTCTTATAGAGACATTGTTCTTTGTCTTGTTTTCTTTGTCTAAAATGTAATTTATCAAGGTTTGGCTTCAGTCAGTGATCTTCTTTGTCAGGCTCATTTGCCATGGTCCTTGTGAGGTTCATTTCACTTAGCTGATAATCATCAGGACAATAAATGTCTGAAACAATTTTTGTAACAGTAAAGAGGTTTCCATTTCACAAGATATCAGCTGACATTGATATTGCAACATCAGAACATTAAAGAAATGCACATCTGTGTTTACAGTGTTAGCTTAGTTGAGGTTTTGAAATCACAGTATACCTAATACCAAGAAAGGTCTTCATATGAATCTGGCTTGAAAGCAAAGAGGGAGGGGCAGTTAGAAAAGATTTGGGAATCACTAGATTAGATCATCTGGTTGCTTGGTGATGGCCATATCCTCTGCAAGTATCATGCGACAGGTTGTATTAAGTTATATCAGTGTTTCCCAACTTATGTCCACATGGCCAAAATTGGCCATGGCAAATTTCAAGTGAGTCACAGACATTTTATAATTAGATATATTCTATGAAAAATGGAAGTAATTTTTTACACTATGATAATTTCATGAGCCACAAAAAATTCTGGTTTCAAAGTGATCCATGATCTAAAAATGGTTGGGAACCACTAGGTTACATGGTACAAGTGGGAAGGAACAATTCCTGACCTAAGCTTCTGTTGAGCATCCTACGTGAGTTGTTTTTACAGAGTAAAAGGGTTTCAATTGCCTTCCTATTTACTCATAGTTAAATCGATAAACTGGAATCATACCTATCTCAAGGTTAAAGTGAATGCAAGCAGACTTTGTGCTGTTAACCCTTAGGCCACTTGCAACTCAGCTGGATAAATATCAATCATTATGACAGGTAAAACATTACCTGGAAAGCCACCCACGGGTCGTAACATTCCATCATCTTGCAATTCATAGAGCTCATCTTCATGCATTTCTTGTTCATCTGAAAAATCCAAAGGAAAATTTATAAGAAATAAAGTGAGGCTGTAAATATTAATAAGACAGGTAAAGTATTTTCATATTTTTTATGGATTATCAACCTTTTGCATGTTATTTAACATCAGAATAAATTCTTAGATTATAACAATTTTTTTTTAAAATAATAATGATTTACTGATACAAGTCCATAGCTTGCAGGGAGAAGTGGAATCATACCTAACACAGGTGTATTTGAGCTTAAGTGAATATTGCAAAACCAATTGGAACTCTTTTCCAATTAACAATTCCAAATCATTATCAATTACACCACCTGCACATCCAAATGTACATTACTTAGTAATCCCAAGCAGTTACCCATCTGCGTACTGATTGGGCTCAATATTACTTAACATCTGTGATCATTCAAGAGATGATTTTTCAAACTAAATTCACTCCTTCAACAAGATACATTTTCTATTGTTGTTCTTTTTCTAAATATGGTGCTTCTGCAGGACATAGACAATCATGGCTCTCCACAACTCATTTGTAGTTTCCAGCAGCGTCTGTCTTTTTGCTAACTCTGCTAATCCCTGTTCTGCCAGCCATTTACACAAACTCATTAAGTAGGTTATTCTATTTTCCTCTGTACCTCTTGCCTCCTACAAGTCCTGTGAGTGTTAAATTTTCCAAGCCCTTATTATGTGCCCTAAAAATTTCAATTATCTTTTTTCTGATTCTAAGTATTAGTGTTGCTTTTGTTTCCATTTTCTCAAAAACTTTACTGTTGCTCACATGTTCAGTTGATGATATTCTCAGCATCCTTCTGTAGCTACATTTCTACTACCTCAAGTTTTTTCTTCATTTGCAATGAGATTGTCCAGCATTCGATGCCATAGGTAGCTTAATTTTTTTTTTTTTAACAACCGATTTCAGAATTAGCATCTCAACAAAGATCCAACACTGAAACAACTTAGGTATCCAATTTATATTGGCGTTAAAAATTTGGTGAGATCTGACTTAGTTTCTGTCTTGGGTATGACGATAAACTGCATCCAACAGCAAAGCCTCTGATCAGGAGGTTTTGCTGGTGTTCCCAGGTCCACCTTGACCTGGAGTGGTAGCACCTTTTAGGGTCCTAGCTATGGGCAAATTGTTAGACCCCCAAACTGGGGTCAAAACACTATGAAAGTGTAAAAGTAAGTTTTAATACCAGCAATACATTTTTGTAAAAAGTTATTACCAGCAATGAATTTTTGAAGAAAAAAGATATTACCAGCAATAAAAGATCTTGTCGGCATTAAATAACCTATTGAGTTTGATATGCCGTAAAACAAACCAAACCGACTGAGTTTGAGAAAATATTTAGCTGTCAGAAACCACCAGACACTAATCATGTTTTCACTAGAAATCATAAATGTTTGAGAATTCAAATTATAATATTGCGATAAGTAAAACAGAAACAATATTAACAACAAATGGAACAATGAGAGAAACTTATGCCTTGCAAATTCAAAATTTTCAATGTTGATTTCTTAAGTTGGTATTAATAGAAAAGAAGGCAAAAGAATGATCTTCAAGCAAGGCTTGAATTCACACCTCAATGGAGATTATGAGCTTGCAACAAGTGCCTTCTCTATTTTCACCAAAACACATTGTAAGAAATGTAAAATTTATAACCTGATCTGATTCACTAATCTACTCAGGTATTCGTTCCACTTATTTAAAAGAGAAGAGAAAGCTTTCTAGGAATGGGTGGAATGACCCTTACTACAAAACTGGAGAAAGCTTCTTGCTATGAATGAATGAAAGCACCTTGCTGCAAAAGTGGAGGAAAGCTCCCTGCCACAAAAGTTGGGGAAAGCTCTTGGATACAAAACTGGGGAAAGCTACTTGCTATGAGTGAAGGAAAGCTCCCAGCTACAAAAGTGGGGTAAAAGCTCCCAGCTACACTGAAATTCAAAAGCTCATTGGGATAGTGAAAATTGCCTTCCAGAAGCTAAGCAAAGTATTAAGAAACAGGAACATTTAATTAGAAACAAAGAAAAGACTACTAAAATGTTATATAATGTCAGTCCTCTTATATGGCAGTGAATGCTGGACATTGTTCTTCATCTGTGAAGACAGACTTGAAGCAACAGAAATGTGAATCAACAGAAGGATGCTGAGAATACCATGGATCAAACATGTGAGCAATAACAATGTTTTACAGAAAATGGGAACAAAAAGGACATTTATACTTCACACATCAGTAAGATATAGTTGAAATTTCTAAGGCACATAATGAGAAAAGAGGGCTTAGAAAATTTGATACTCACAAGACAATTTGAAGGCAAGAGAGATAGAGGAAAACAATGCATAACCTACCTGGTGAGCTTGAGTAAATGGAGGGCTGAGCAAGGTTTAGGAGAGATAAGAAAAAGACAAAAGTTATTAAGAGCTACAAAAGATAGGAAATTGTGGAGAGCCATAGTCATCCTGAATTCATGGTGAGGGAATGTTTTGAGAATCAAATCTAACAGAATTAAATTCAGCTAAATTCTGTACTTGTCATATAGAGATGTAGAAGAAATATAATTATTCATATGGGTACACTATATGAATAATTATATCTTTTACAGCCATATTATCACCTATGATGATAATTAAAAGGAATTATAACAATGATGATGAGTAAATGTTGTCATATTCTGTTCTAGGTATATGTAAAGGATTTTCCCTTTGATTCATTTTTTATAGTTTACTAGCAGGAGAGCCCAGCATTGCCCGGGGATGTAACAGTAAGAGATAGATCAAGTATCGACCATCATAAAGACTGAAAAATAAAAATGACAAAGATTATTGTTTAAGGTTGATGGGCACGCATGTCTTTTTTTTTTTTTTTTTTACGAATTGGTCAAACCCAAACTCAAACAAAAGCATTGTTTTCAATAAGTTATGAGTCTACCGTTTGAATAGAATTTTATTATAAACAATTGTCTGGTAAATGGAATTTTTAAAGAATTCTGAATGTAAAAATAAAGAAAAAAGTGTGCAAGACAATAAGAAACACTACCTGCCAAAAAAAAAGTGATGTTTTGTTGAAATCGGTTGAAAAATGTAGGAAATCCGATCCCATATATAAACGAACACAGACACACAAAGAACCTGGGTTTTATAATAAGTATAACTCGATATGAGTTGTCTCCCCTTTCATTCTCGCGACAGCAATGCCTCTTAATCGTGTTTTCAAATTGATTTCATGCAAAAACAATTGTGTTTTTCCAATTTTTGGCACTGTCAGAACCACCGCAAGGTAATTTTACATAGTCCTGTGAAGTTTTGTTGAAATCGGTTGAAAAATGTAGGAAATCCGATCCAATATATAAACGAAACAGACGCACACACACACACAAGCAAACTGGGTTTTATAATAAGTATGATTAACTCTTTGCAGTTTATTTAAATCCAGAAAATGTTTTTAGATTTTAAGAATTTTTTTTTTTTTTTGAGGTAATGATTTGATAAAATTCTTGCTAATTAACCTGTAGCTGGGGGAGATTCATATCTTTCCAAAGGGTATCTTCACACAAGTGAATATAATTAACTCAACAGGAATTAGAAATCAGTTCTCCTATTAACATTCCTGAGTCATTATCCATTACACCACCTGTACATTCAAACTTACAACACCTGGTATTCCCAAGTGGTCACCCATCTAGGTACTGACCATGCATGACATTGCTTAACTTCAAAACTCAAAAAAAGCTAGAATAAGCACAGAACAAAATATTTTCATATTAAAAGACTGAAAGTAAAAAAAAAAAAAAATAGCATTTTTCCATCATTTTGGGATCATCACCATCTCCTTTTCTTGATGACCAAATACATGACCTGATATGTTTCGACCAATTCAAAGAACTTTTTCAGATCTAAAAGTTTAAGTAGGGATGCCTGCTGGCAGAGAGAGACTAGAGAGGGTGACTTTCCCTCCCCCTGGATAATACCTCCTGAAATGGAAACCTTATATTTCCATGCATGTTGCCCGTCATCAGATTATACACAGAATAATCCTATTTTGCATGTCTGTAATGCAATGCTTACTTTAGTACTGATCAGTGACAAGCCTTTCTTTCATGTATTCAATGTATTTTCTAGTTAAAATCATTAGTAATGTATATACACTGGAGATACAAGACATGTCCAATAGGCATCCAGCTATTTCATATTAATGAAAGAAAGTAACCTACCTAAGGCAATGGCACCTGACTCCTCTTCAAAGTACTCCCCATGTGACCTCACACATGTATCGGTCTGTCCTTTGCAATTTTCAAAACAGTCGGCAAAGTTGTCTTTTGACATAACTGTTAGATGAATTGTCATTTTTTCCTTCAACCTTCAATGTTTTGGATACTAACTGGGCAAATTATTGCTAATGGTTTCAGACATCACTAAGTGTCTCCCAGATATAGTCTTGTCTCAAAAGTGCCTAAGTTAAACAAATATCTACACATATCTAGTCTCACATGCTAAAGAAAATCTAAGTCCTTAAAATTTTAAATATTTCTTAAATGTAGCCTTGTGCTAGGATTGGCTAAGCTAAAAAAAAAATGTCTACACATATCCAGTCTCATGTACAATATTAAAATTTTCTAGTTCCTTCTAAAGTCTTTTCATTCTCTTTCATTTCCAGTAGCACCTTGCATCTTAGTGGTATTATTGCCTTGCTTGGAGTGAATTGATAAAAAAAATGGTCCTTAAAATTTTAAATATTTCTCAAATGTAGCTTTGTGCTATAAACTCAACAAATATTATGCTATTAACAGTCAAACTAATTTTTTTATTTTTATTATTATCACAATATTTTATCACTGGCCTTCAAGTGTCTGTGAGTTAACTCAGATCAATAGACACCTGAAAAAAGACAGAAGGAACAACAGCTGTAATGTTATAACAAATATATTAGTCTGATTGTAAATAATGTAATTTATCCCAGAAATTCAGATAAAAAATACCTACACATCTTCTAGTCTCGTGTGTAAGAGCAAA